CATATTGAGAATGCTCTATATACGCTACAACATTTTCAATTTCCTGCTTAAATTTTATTTATACTTAGGATATATTAAAAGTTTCTTGCAACAAAGACGATACAACCATATTAATTCCAAAAATCTTTAAATGCCTGATTTGCTCCTTTAACTTTGAGATGACATTATACCACAGATAAAAGCTGGGGTTAGGTTAGGCATGGTCCAGAGAAAAAGGCAGGGATTTCTTAGATATACAGGAATAAAACAATGACTTTATTCCTTTAAAAACCACAGGCAGAAATGGTAACAGGAAACAACATGGACTACTGAAACTATTTACAAGTGAGATGTTTCTTATCAATCTCAACTCTAGGCTATTAACTTACTATAATCTTTTATATAAGAAACTACTTTTTTGAGATGTACTGCATGGCAATGGGTAACTACCTATATTACAAATAAACCCAAATAAATACATGTCTCCTACTTAATTTCTGATACACTCCAAAATGAGGCTGGTTACTGGTCTGAGCACATACAGGTTCATTCCATTTCTCTCCAGACCTTTGTTTAGACTGAATCTCCTTGCCTGCTTAGTCTGTGTAGAAAGTCTATTAACTTCAAAACGTACGTCTTTAGTCCATCTTACTAAAGCCTTTCATGAAAATCTCATTTTTATAGTTCACAGGATCAATTTTCTGTACCACATATAGTTATCAACTTGATGATATTCCATTTAAAATATGAAGTCACTACTTTTTATTCTTCCTTCATTTCAAATTCAGCTAGACTAACAAGCAAGTTTCATGGAGCACACTAGATTCTATGAAATAGAAAAATATATCAATAGATCTTTAATAAAGATTACAAAGCTAAAATAGAAAAAGTTGTAACTAAATAATTCAATGTGACATAATTTCACCATGATAATTAGTAAGATTTCATATTTTGAAAGATGTTTGAAAAAATGTAGTTCATGTATATTTTCCTTAAATTTATCATCTTACTTTAAACACCAAAAACTCTTTAAATATTGAGTACTTATGAAGAAATATTCTTTAGCAGGCCTCTATATTCATCTTATATATGTCTTTGCACCTCAGTCTTAGGTTTATTATACTCAGAAGAAGAAAAGTATGTCTTTTCCTCTGTACCATCTGATTAAACTGTATCAAATTGAATAAAAAATAAAAAAATTAAAAGTTCAAAGGCTAACTCATTTAAAAACAGGAAGACAGTTCTTTAGTTGCGGTCCCTTTGTAAGTGCTCTGTTTAGAAGTCCTGGGTTATGGCCTTGAGCGCATCAGTGAAGTCACTAGAACTCTGTTTCTTTAAGTATATGATGTGTTTAAAAAAGAATAAAGGCAAACAAGACCACAAAATAATTCACGTTAGGAACTTCATACACAGATCTTAAAGAGACTTGCAAGGCTGACTTCTACTTTATGTTACTTATATATTTTGGGGTTTTTAATGAGAATAAAAATGATTTATTAAGCATACATTTGCTTAAACAGTGTTTCAAGTCAGAAAGTACTTAGAAATACTGAGAGACTTTTTTTTTTTACATAAAAGTCTCTCAATTTATAAAACTTTTTTATTGACAGATAAGGCACAGAAAAATGTAAGTGACATCTGCTAAGCTTTACTTATGCAAACTTAAAGAAATCCTACGGGATAACATCACTCAATTTTTCCTGGAGTACCTCTGATGGAGACTTCCTAAAAAAAATCTGGAAATAATTAGAAACTATTATAGTACCTTAAAAAGTTTACTTGAAAACTAAATCTGCTCTTCATCAAAGAACATAATATACTCAGAATAATGTAATAGAAAAATAAAGTACATATACAGAATAATGAAAAGCATCTCAACCACATCTGACTGTGAAACTTAAAAAAGTTGGCAGAGGACAATAGTGGACCTGTGAGATACTGAAGAACTCTGGAGGAAACACTGTATTCACTGATTAAGCACTGACTTTTCAAGACACTTTATATTATTTTACTCCAGTTCATTCTACTCTTAATTTTTAAAAAAAGATACTACTAAGTGCATTTTAAAAACAAATTGAAAGAAAAGAAGAATAGATAAATCTTGAAATTTACTTTTATGTCATGAGATTTATAGGAAGTAGAAAACTCCATATACAGTAAAAAATGTTTTGACTATCTGTGGAACAATTAATGCAATATAATGATAATGCTAATAGCATCTTAGAACTTAAAATATGTTTTTCAAGAGACCTAAAATTCCACTGGCATGTTCCTTAGAGTTTAAAAGACTGTCCATATGAACTGAATTATCCTTGACAAGTACCTTCAGACACTTGTAATATGATCTCATGTAAATTTAGACCATATTTTGCACACAAACCACTGGCAATAGTAAGTTTATTCAAGAGCTCAAGATAAAAAGGAAAGAAAAGCTGATAGACTTAATAATATGTGGTAGTTAACATGAAGTTTCCAAAATCAAAAGCATCAAAATAAAGGCATCTAATGAAAGAAAAACAAACACTGTGAGAAATGCTGCATTTTCCTTTCCTTTTTCAGTTCTTCACTACCTGTTTTCTCCAAACAAAATGTTATCTTTCCATGTTTTATCCAAATTTAGGGGAAAAAACACATTCTAAACAGATAAATAAACCAGAAAATTCCATTTGCATTGAAAATTTATTTTAACCAATAATTAAACCACAGTGTGGATAACATCTTTGTTGTGTTTCCCACTGTGGGAAAAACTTATTCATGCAGTCCATCAAGATAGTTACTCATTCAGATTTCCAGCTATTTTATTAGTACTAATAATTGCTGATCATAACATGGAGCTATATCAACATTTGCAAAGGGTTAACTGTAAAACAGAAGAAAAACAACTCAAAACTCTGCTGTTTTAAGGATTCCTCAGGATTACCTCTGCCTTGGCACCAAAAAAAAAAAGCCTACAGAACCATGCTAATTCTATAGGGATCAGCTCCATTGTCAAAGAAATGCATTAAGGCCTGACGGAGAGAACTCAGTATTGGAGAGAGCTGCTTGCTAAGCAATCTCCAGCACCCGCAACTATATTTATCTCTCTTTATCAGAAGTCTGCTACCGCTATGTTGTCTGGCTAATGGATGAAAACAGGGTATAAATCATCATGAATTTGAGTCGTGGAGAAAATGGCAGATTATTTTAAGAAATTCTGAAGACCTGTCCATTTTTTGTGTGTCCTCAAAGCCAAGGTTTTATATATCTGTCCAACAATGAATTATCTGGAAAAGATGTTTTTATAAGCTAATTTTAAAGCAGAACAGTGAATTCTTCCCACCTGAATTGCATCAAAGGAAGATTACTGATTTGCTTATCAGTTATTTCTTTAAAAATAATTTGTGGAAAGTAAAATTTTTCAGTTTAATAGAAAATGAAACAACTGGAGCTTTTTTAAAAAATAAAGACATTTTTAAACCATTTAAATGAGGTATTTTTAATCAATTAACCACTTAGATATTTAAAACACAATTATTTTAGACATTCAACCTAAAAATCAAGTTGAGAGACATGTTTATAATACAGCTTTGCTGAAACACTGCATAGAGAGCTTAAATTTCTCACTCTTCCTTTCAATCAATAACTGAGGCAAAGTTTCATCTCTAGGGCCCTTAATGGCAGGAATTCCTGGAGCCAGCAAATGAGTAATGTTAAACCTATGATTAGATGATGAGGCCATCAAAGACACTAGACCCTAATGCTACATTCTTCTTTATTTCTGTGAACTGCAGTGAAACCAGGAGCTAAGGAAGAAGGAATTTTACATTATTTTCCCCCATGAAACCATTTCTTTCAAATGTGCATCACCAAGAACCTATGAGTTCCAGACAGATTTCACAGAATGTCTCTTGAACTCAGGACTCTGGCTTTGGGTGACAATTCTCAAATGTCCTGCAGATGAACTCCTGCCAGGGATGCTGTTTCCTTTAACATCTTCCTTATTTACATATCTGGATGAAAAGTGGAAAATGGATCTAATGATTTCCCTATGAATATATTCTTGAAGAAAGTAAAGCTGAAGACTGAAAAGTAATAGGTAAGTTTTGGTTGCTTTATTTTTGTTGATGCTTTAAAGGATTGGTTGAAGCCCTATTGCTGTTTATTTGGAAGTTAGTTGTGGTTTTAGTCAGACCTCAGGTAAGTAACTAGAAATAGTATATACAAATTTTCCTTTCTACTGAGGAAATTAGGATGTAAAAATTACTTATTACAAACATATATAAGTTCTTTTTTCATTCTCATATTACAAAATATTTAATACTTATGTGAAAATCAGTACCACCAGGAGACTTGGCAGAGTTGGCGAAAAGAAAGACCATTAGGAAGGTTCCTATTTTGGTTATCAGAAAAATGTTACATACTATTAAAAAAACAATAGCCAGAAATTATAATTCAATTTTTAATTCTGACTATTAAAGATAAATAGAATGAGTAGATTTTTAGATTTTATACTGAAATATATAAATTATATTACAAAAGGGAAAGCAGCAATGTATCATATCAAAAACCCCTCGCTGATCAGCTGTGTTTTATACTCTGGCTTCTGCATTAAAAAAACAACCTCCATTTTGCATTATCTCTAATAGTGAAAAAGAAACCATATAATTAACAACAAACATCAAAATTATAAATACTACTCTATCATTTAAAAAAGATGGATGTAAAGAAGGGTATTAAAATAGCTATAACAAATTATATACATATTTGCAGAAATTAAAAAATAAGGAACAATAGAAGGATAGGTGAAATGGAAAATAATAAGACAGCTAAAAGGAGGGGAGAAGGAGGGAGATTAAATCAATATTTGCATAGTAAGATCATTTACATAAATCCATATCTCCATTTATTTTCTTTATCTATGAGATAATAGACATTTAAAAATAGATAAACATATACATATATATTTACATCCATTCTCCTGTTTAATGACATAAAGCAATCCTCATGTAGTTTAATGCAATCACGTGATTAAGATTTCATACCTGAGAACAAAGCAGCATAACAAGCTCAACTACAGATGTGCTGGACTTCATACAAACGAGGCCTGCAAAAAAGAAAGGTTAAAATAAAATGAAATAACAGTGGTAGAAATCATCATTCTAAGTTAATTCATTATGTAGTTTTAACTTATAAAACATTTTTAAAAAATAAAATTCCTAAAATAAAATGGAGGTATTCACTAATAGCATTAATTGCAAAATATACAGATATTTCAAGAAGATATGAAAAATATGTAAAAATTGACCTCAGACTTGGGTTATTTATTTGGTCAAGGCATTTCTTATATTTAAACAAGGCACGGGTAGCTTTAAAAACTGATAAGCCAGTTAAAGCTCCTTTTATTCCAATGACATTTACAATGTGATTGTCTCAGGAACACAGAATAATAATCACTGAAGATCTATCTAACTTTTCTTCCAAAGACAAATTTAAAATAATTTTTACTTCATTAGAGGTAACTACACATAGGTTGTCAATGGTTAAATGAATTTTGAAATATTAAAAAATGAATTTATCATACAATTAACATGTTATGCAATACTTATAAAATAAAATATTCCATTGTTCTGCTTCCAAAGTCTCTGAATAGAAGTCAGAAGAAACAAGAATTCAATGTAATAATGGCTACTACTCATTGATCACGTGCTATGTGCTGGGTACTGTGTTAACTGCCTTATGTACAAATAACTCACTTACTTCTCATGATATTTTGTGACATACTATTATTATTACCATTCTACAGGTAAGAAAATACTCTTCTTAAAAACAGTCTAAATGTTGATTATATATATCATTCATCGGCTTTTTTCATTAAAAGGATGACTGCTGTATAAGAGGAGAAGGCAGGTCATGAATGGGTAGTATTTTTAACATATAGAGAAAGATGTAACCAATGATTAATAACAATCTCTGGAGGAGAGTATGTTAATCACGATGCTTGCTAATTTAAAGTATATTTTTAAAAGTTTTTTAACTGTTTCTAAAATTAAATTAATACTCATTTTTCTATGAAGACAAATATAATCAGTAAAAGCACTGCATAATAAGAAATGCCATGCTACCAGGGAAGACTGATCTTACATTAGCTGTTGCTAAATAGCTAGCTAAAGTGAACCAGTTATTTTTCTCTTCTTAAGGTGATTTCAGTAAAGAGTCTCAAATGTCTTCCAGACACTAGCATGTATATTTATTGTAGGGAGTGGATAAATACCCTTTTGTGCCCATTCTGCTAACAACTCTACCCTTAATGTGCAGACCTACAGAACAAGTTGTAAAAAGGCACTAGTATTCCATTTTATCAGATCTTTGGGCAGACAGCTAACTAATGAAATAAGAGGCAGATGTGAAAAGCTCATTTAAGAGACAATTGTTGTAATTGATCAGCGATTCTAATGCTCAGGAGATAGAGTCAGAAAGATTAATGGGATGTTTATCACCTGTTGGCTACTCAACTATTTGAAATTCAGACAAAGAAAAACTAAGTAGAAGGCCAAAGAGCTATGCATAGCAGAAGAATCAAAATTAAAATCTGTACTCCATATCAATTTAGATTTTAGATTGTAAGGCTATATAGTGAAGTATTAGGTTACATGGCTATATAATGATTGATTATACAAAGAATTATTCACCATATATTCTGTGTACTAGAGTTTTGAAATACAGTTTTTACAAATCAGAAAAAAAATGCAGTTATATTCATTTCTCACAGACTAATTTTAAATGAACTTCTAAAGAACTGCATGTAACAAGAATATTCATATTTTTACCCAAATATATGCTATCATTCCATAATAAGAAGAATATAAACAAATGCTCCATCAATGCTTTTGTTCAAGGAAGTGATAACAAAATGACAGGATAGTGAAACTGCAATTTGAAAAACAGTATTCTGGAAACTTTGAAAATGGCCATTGTGATTTCAGGTCACTAGATCTTTGCACCTTTACTAATGAGATGTAATTAGAATGAACAGAATGATAATGGATCCTCCTCAAAAAAAAAATAAAAAGAAACAAAAATGAAAACCTAGTTTTGCCATGAGAACACAAGCAGAGACAATTTTGGAAGACTTATCACCTTTCAAAAACTTTATAATCATTTTGGTTGGCACTATTTCTAAGTGTTAACAATTAACTATTACTAAGACAAATGGATTTTTTATTAGAGGTACACGGTGAAGATATCTAGAGATATTGAGACATTTAATAGAGCTATTGAAAATACAAACACTGTCTGACGACATTATCCTTGCACATTCTCTAAATAAAAAAGCGCTTATTTTTGAAATTCTAAGGTGAAAGCAATAAATGTGATTTTGTACAATTTTAGCCATAAGCTTAAGAAAGCCAAATTTATCTAGCAATGCTACAAATAACTCAGGCTATATATGCATAAAGCAAGTATTTTACAAGCATGTATCTCAAATGAGATGTGATTTTTTTTTCCTTTTTGTATCTGGCAAGAAATTCATAATCAAATCAACTCATTTGAAAACTCCTTGTATGAGTAAAGGACAGTGTTAGCACTCAGGAGTATAAGTAATAAGACAGTATCTACATCTTCCTAAGGGATCCATCTTTCAATCCAAATTTAAGATTATCTAACACTTACAAAGAACTTTATCACTTATAGGTTGCATTTATACATGATGTTTTATTGGATTCTCTTAAACAACTACTTGAACTAGTTATTATTACCTCATGTGATAGGTTAAAAAACGAAGGGATTCAGTGACTAGCCCAAGGTGTTTCCTTCAGTAAGTGGTGGAAATGTGACCTGAATTCAAGTCATCTAACTCAAAAGCCCATTCCTCATCTGCTGCAGAGCTGTTTAAACCATCTGACACTAACAGGATGGCGACATGCGACAACGAGAGAGATCATAATGGTTAATTCCATCCTAGGTGATTTTGCCAGTTTTCTTAGAGAAAATAACATACATGTTGGTCAGATGTGGGAACAAAAAGCTTAACAGAAAGTACAGAGGGAGCAGAGGACCAATAAGTCCTGAGAAGACCTTTATAGTACGACTGGCTGATCAGAATATAGGCAGTGTGAGAAAGTGGGACTGGAGGGTTAAGATAAAATTCAAAGATTATCTATCTCCAACTGAAAGAAATAAAATTACACGTTTTTGAAAGTTGAGAAGAAGAATATAGAGAAAGGGATACAATGGGAGAAATGATACTAAGGATCAGTTATTCCTATTCCACGATGACTTTTCTCATCTTGTCAATTAAGAAGTAGGCCCCAAGGAAGTTAAACATATGTGCTCCTTTAATAATAACAACAAAAAGCCACCTTTACCCACAAATATGTGCTCAGCAGAATAACTTTTCTAACTAGAAATAATGATGGAATACTGTAGATCATAGTAGTTTACCAATATAAAGTGAATTCAAGGAGTGTAGATAATCAACATGTGAGAGAAAGAAACTTAAATATGTAGGAGGTGCTCTAATGGTGAGGAAACTGTCCAGTACAAGCTTTTGAATACATTATGAACTATGTTGTTGAAAGATAAGGTTGGCTAGCTGACTAGCCAAGATACATGTATTTGAGAAGATGAATTAGGTGGACAAATTTGAGGTGGTCCAGACCCAGGCAGCAAAAATTCGCTGGGTCCAGATGAGTGAAACACCATTCAAGTCACTGGCAGTTTTTTGGGTTTCCATTTACTAGGGGTGAGAAATCAGCTTCAACTTTTAGAACTATGCTCACTTGTGAAAAGGAAAAACAAAAAACAAAAACAACGAATCAACAACAAGAACAAAACCCCCACCAAATCTCACTAAACTGAAAAATGAATGTTAAAAGTTTGCCCTTTGGGATACAACCATCTTTCTTTAATACAAGAAATACTGACACTTTTGTTCAATGTGTGAGTCTGACTTCATGTATATGCAGAATTATGAGATCAAGTTTACATGCTTTAAGATAATGTGGAAAAATTCCATGTCTAACAGGATGCCCCCTTCTGGCAGGAGGTGAAGAGGACGAGGTGTTATGGTGACAAACAAGGAATCATACTTGGAGGTGGGACTCACCTTCTAAGGAACATTGTTTTCTTTCAGCAAGGGCCTTCTCCCAAGAGAGAAGACCATACACGTCTATGCCTGGGGCAGTGCTCTGACTACATTCTCTGTAAACTTTAATTAAATGAATAAATCTAAAACAAACCATTCATTGAGTAAATAAATAGTTGATGTATATTTATATAAATGTTGGAGAAAAAAGATTTTAAGGAAAAGTAGGAATATTCTTTTAAGAACAAGAGCCTCATGTATTAAAAAAGCATTTATTGATCATTGTGTCTTATGTGCCAGATACCAGGCCAGGCGCTAAATTTAAAAATAGTGAGGAAAGCAGGACAGTTTATATAAACAAATAATCATGACATAGACTCTCAGGAGATACACAGAGACAACAGAGTGTTAGACACACAGAAAGGGTAGTGAGCACCTCTGCCGAGGAGAATTCATAGGGACTGTGACCTCTGAGTTGCATGATGCTAATCCTATAAGCAAAAAAAAAAAGGGGAAAGTCATCCAATTTAGTTTTTAAATAACTTTCTAATGATTTTAACTTTTAGAAGGGCCCAAATTGTGGTTTCACAGGTCAACTGGCGATAAAGGATTCACCTGCCAATGCAGAAGACACGGGTTCAATTCTTGAGTTGGGAAGATTCCCTGGAGAAGAAAATGGCAAACCACTCCAGTATTCTTGACATGGACAAAACTGCATGGACAGAGGAGCCTAGTGGGTTACAGTCCATGGGGTCGCAGAAACTTTTGACATGATTTAGTCACCGAGCACCAGCACAAAACTTAATAAGGTCAAAAACTTCAGTTCAGTTCAGTTCAGTTCACTCAGTCGTGTCCAACTCTTTGCGACCCCATGAATCGCAGCACGCCACACCTCCCTGTCCGTCACCAACTCCCAGAGTTTACTCAAACTCGAGTCGGTGATGCCATCCAGCCATCTCATCCTCTGTCGTCCCCTTCTCCTCCTGCCCCCAATCGCTCCCAGCATCAGGGTCTTTCCC